ATATATATATATATATATATATATATATATATATATATATATATATAAGACTAAATGTGTGGATTTTGATTGGTTGGCTGAATAATCAAATCAATTTCCTCCTTTCAAACAGTCATCATTAGACTTAATTGTGAACTCAATAGATTAAAAGGCACTCTGCCGTTATGTGAATGCACCTCCCATAAGTGCTTGTTACTTTTGTTCTTTATCACTTCAACCCAGATCTTTGTAGATGCATCAATGAACCTGTTATGGGTCTCTTCATAATCATCAAGGATCACGATTTGGCTCTGGTATCTACTCTCTGCTCCCCCGTGCTTGACCCCTGCTACGACCGTCGGACCACGCATCTGGATTTCACCTGCCACGTACAGCCTAAGAAGATTGGACTCCTGCCTTGGACCCTGACCCCAGCAACAAGCAGCCAAATTAATAAAAACTGTTCTTGTTTTTGCACTCCTGTGTCTGGCTTATTCTGAATCCAAACCTGAACGTGACAATTTTTTTTTTTTTTTAACAATGAAATAAGAATTGAAATGTGGTTAAATTTTAGGACTTGGATAACTGGGTAAGGGAAAGATCAACAAATACCAACTGGTAAGTACATGGGCACATGTACATGGGTGCATGCACATGGGTTCAGGTTCTAAGAAGCAAAAGTACAAGTTATCCAGAACCACTTAAAATACCATTGAAGATGTGTTCTCTCTTCAAAATAATGGACTCTCAAAGGTTGACCAGAACATCAAGCTAACCTTTAAAACAACAATTATTATTTACTAAGAAAAGTTATGAGCACCTATTTTTTTATTTTCAGAGAGCTATATATTTAGTTGATTGGATAAGAAAAGTTACATTTATTCAGCTTGACTTTATTAATTCAGAACAGCGTGTAATTATTACATAAATGTAAAAAATGTTTGGTGCATTGCACCAGATTTGGCCTTGGGCTAAATTTTCATCTGTAGTCCTCATTTACAAAAAAATATATATCAATAAATTTATGCTGTGAAATACCTGCAGTGATTATCTGCATTGCAGAAATAAAGCTAAATTACACCACAGGGCATGTTTGTTGTGAATTCTACTGTGTACTGTATGAATCAAACTTTTACATTTGTGATCCACAACACAAGCAACAATTGGCCATCAACTGCTCGGAGTTAAAAAATTGGCTCAACACAAAAAAGTTACATTTTAAGGCAGAGAAAATCACTACACCTGTTCACAGTGTCTTTGTCCTTTTGCTTTTTTAAATCTCTTTGATTTTTGTTGGGGACTGACTAACACCTATTATCCACCTGAAAAGGTTCTTGCTCTGCTGTCCACTTTAATGCAGCCTGAATCTCAACGTGTACCCCCACAAATGTTATGTCAAAACGACCGGCTCAGCACCGTAATGTGTGCTTTTGCTTTTATTGGCTTTTCCAGTTACCATGGCGACGTAATTAACAAACAACTATAGCATTTTTCGCAGAAAATAGAAAATTGACTATAACCAACAGCAGCTGATTAACATCTCAAAAGCTCAAATAATATCTCAACTACAGCCCCAAACCTCAAATGAGTTGAAAAGGATGTTCTGTGGATGCATTCTCATCTACCTGCCAGCTGTGCTCGAGTGCCTGACCACTGAGATCCTGGAACTAGCAGGAAACATGGCTCATGACAGCGGAAGGACAGGATCGTCCCTCGGCACCTACAGTTGTTTGTCTGCAGTGACGAGGAGCTCGGCAGACTGCTGGGAGGAGTGGCCATCGCTCTGGGAGGAGTTCTGCCCGGCATTCGGGCGGTCCTACAGTCCGGGGGAACCAAGAGGCCAGCCGAGTCTGGGTGGACTGATAGGACAGCATCTGCAGCCAGTTTCTTCGGATCCACTGTGGGATGGATCTTTACAAGTGATCCTTCCTGTCTACAGCCATCAGTATCTATAACATCTCTTAATGAAATGAGGATAACGAGTTACAACAACAAATAATTTCCCTTTGGGATTAATAAAGTATTTTTGAATTGAATTGAATTGAACTCAGGCATTCTTTATTGAGCTGAAATTTGCTATGATCATAGCTGAGAGTGAGTTGTTATATTTTCTTAATGCAAATTAAAAATCGAAGATGGCCGCCTTAGCTAAAATGGAAAAAAATAAGATAACTCAGCTACTTTAAAAGATATTGAGGAGAAATTTAGTGTGGCCTGACAGTGATGCTCAACACATTCTAAATTCAAATCTAAAAATTCAAGATGGCCATCAAAGCTAATTTCTAATGGCTATAACTCAATATGTTTTTAGAGGTATTCACCTGAAATTTGGTGTATTGGTAGCTGAGAATAATCCCTAATAGACTCGGATTTCAAATCGATAATCCAAGATGGCTGCCTTAGCTAAAAAGGACAGAAATACTATAAATCAGCCAATTTTAGAGATATTAAGCTGAAATTTGGTGTGGTGGTAGCTGACAGCAATGCCCAATAAATACTGATTCTAACCTAAAAATTCAAGATGGCTGTCAAAGCTAATTTTAATTGGTTATAACTCCAATATTTTTACACATAGAGCTGAAATTTGATAAGGTTATAGGTGAGAAAGTTCCTGATCACATACTGAATGAAAATCAAAAATCCAACATGGCCACCACAGCTTACAAGAAAACTATGACTATAAAAGACTATAACTCTTTGATTTATTTTTTTGTTGTTGTTTGTTTGTGTGTTTGTTTTTTTGCCATATTGAGCTGAAATTTGGTATGATGGTAGCTGAGAGTGAACGGCAACACATAGTACTGTCAAATAAAACAATTGAAATGGATTCCACATGGCAGTTCCCATCAAAGTATCTCCAGGAACTTTCTAGTTTACCTTGTTGTGCAGGACCACCACATTGCGCTGGTCTCCGCTGAGCCACGTGTCGATGGCCTTGCACATGCTGCAGATCTTGTCCAGTGCTGGAGCGTGATGATCTGGCCAGCCGAACTCAAGAACCTAACGAGAATCATTTTAAATATTTATGTTCCCAGCCTTCTCAAACAAGCTCACCTAACAATCTTACTTTTTCTGGTTGTATGAAACAAAAACACAGCTCCGGAGGTGTTCGTACCTTGGGGTTTAGCTTTGACAAATCATTCCTCTGCTCGCTAAGGTTCAGCATCTGACATCAGAGAGCAAATATTAACAAGCTGAAATGAAACAAATATCTTTTTGTCTTTAATTTTTTTTTTTTTAAACGTGTACTTTAAAGACCAGGACATAAACGTCTACTGATTCTATCCTTGAGTTTTCCCACCAGATAATGTTGAGCGTGCTTTGACCTCAGCATGGTCGCCACCTCCTTCAGGTTGTTGGTGTAGCTGCGCTCGTCAGCCGCGGCGGGAAAAGACAGGGAGATGATCCTCTCTGTGATGTAGACCAGGTCCACCTCATAGCTCTCCTCCATGGCCTGAACCACACTCTGACTTCTGGAGGGTCAGGAAGAAACAAAACATTTATTGCGTGAATGTTTCTAAATCATTCTCATTATTGAGCGCATATTTTCTTCTATTTGTTTTTGGCATGTAACTCATTCCACAGTTTTTGTGCTATTTCAACATTTCATATGTCATACCTGCAAACTCATGGAAAAGGTCACAAACCTAGTGCCTGTAATGGGGGGAGGGGTTTCTGCCCACCACAGAAGATTTTTAACATGTTAATTAGAAAAAAACATGTCTGAGCACAAAAGCAGAAATGAGCACAAAACATGGAAATTATTTGAAAAAAGTTTAAATTAGCAACAACAAAGAAACTGCTGAAAAGTAGCTTAAAAAGCATAAAAAAGCTTAAATTACCAGAAGGAAGTGGAGAGAGCACAATTTTGCTGAATTTGGCTGAAAAAAGTTTAAATGAGTGCAAAAAATTTGGAATTAGCCGAAAAAGCTAAAATTAGCATGAAACAGCTAAATAGTAGCTGAAATTACTGAAACTAGCAGAAAAAAGTTGAAAGTAGCATAACAAGCTGAAATTAGCAGAAAGAAGTTAGTTAGGCTGAATGTAGCAGAGATTACCATGAAAAAATTGAATTTATCTGAAAACAGCCAAAATTAGCTAAAAAGTTACTGAAAAGGTAGAACAAGCTTACATTAGCAGAATAAAGCAGAAAGAACATGTTTGCCCAATTAGGCTGAAAAAGCAGAAATGAACACAAAAAGTGGAAATTATCTGAAAAAAGTTTAAATTAGCACACACAAAAAACCAGCTGAAAAGTAGCTTAAAAATCATAAAGAAGCTTAAATTACCAGAAGAAAGTGGAGAGCACAATTTTGCTGAATTTGGCTGAAAAACGTTTAAATGAGTGCAAAAAAAAATGAATTAGCTGAAAAAGCTAAAATTAGCATAGAACAGCTAAATAGTAGCTGAAATAACTGAAACGAGCAGAAAAAAGATTAAAGTAGCATAACAAGCTGCAATTAGCAGAAAGAAGTTAATTAGGCTGAATGTAGCAGAAATTACCATGAAAAACTTGACTTTAGCTGAAAACAGCCAAAATTAGCTAACAAGGTTACTGAAAACGTAGAACAAGCTTAAATTAGCAGAATACAGCAGAAAGAACATGTTCGTCCAATTAGGCTGAAAGAATCAGAAAGGAGCACAAAAAGTGGAAATTATCTGGAAAAAAAAGCTGAAGTTAGCAACAAAAACCAGCTGAAAAGTAGCTAAAAAAGCAGAAAGAATCTGAAGTTACAAGAAAGAAGTGGAAAGAGCACTTTCTGCTGAATTAGGCTGAAAAAGTTGAAATGAGTGCATAAATGTGGAATTAAATGAAAAAGCTTAAATTAGTATAAAGCAGCTAAATAGTAGCTGAAAAAGCTGAAACTGGCAGAAATAGGCCAAAAGGACCATAACAAGCTTAAATTAGCAGAAAGAAGTTAGAAGAAGCACAAAAATGTTCTAGTTAGCAGAAAGAATCTGAAAGGAGCGCAAAACAACTGAAAAAACAGTTGAATATAGCTGGAAAAAGTTTAAATTTTCACAAAAAAGCTGAAAGAAGCTGAAGCAGAACAAAATGTGAAAGGAGCAGTAAAAGGTTGTAAACACATCTAAAAAATCTGACAGATACGCTGGTGAAGATTCTCAGTCTTTCAGGACATGGCAAGTCCAAAGATAAAAAGGTTAAAAACAAAACAACTGGACTTAATTTAGTAGCTGAAGACGTTTTGCTTCTCATCCGAGGAGCTTCCTCAATTCAAAGACTCACACCCACTCTCTGTTCTTTGAAATGAGAAAGCTCCTCAGATGAGAAGCGAAACGTCTTCAGCTACAAAATAAAGTCCAGCTGTTTTGTTTTTACTCGGCTACAGAAGCTGGATATTGGGACGTGGAATGTCACCTCACTGGTGGGGAAGGAGCCTGAGCTGGTGTGTGAGGCTGAGAGGTTCCGGCTAGAAACAGTCGGACTCACTTCTACGCATGGCTCTGGCTCTGGAACCAGTTTCCTTGAGAGGGGCTGGATACTCTTCCACTCTGGAGTTGCCCCTGGTGAGAGGCGCCGAGCAGGAGTGGGTATACTTATTGCCCCCCAACTTGGTGCCTGTGTGTTGGGGTTCACCCCGGTAAATGAGAGGGTGGCCTCCCTCTGCCTACGTGTGGGGGGACTGGTTCTGACTGTCGTTTGTGCTTATGCACCAAACAGCAGTTCAGATTATCCACCCTTTCTGGAGTCCTTGGAGGGGGTACTGGAAAGTGCACCTCCTGGGGACTCCCTTGTTCTGCTGGGGGACTTCAATGCTCATGTGGGCAATGACAGTGAGACCTGGAGGGGTGTGGTTGGGAGGAACGGCCCCCCTGATCTGAACCGGAGGGGTGTTCTGTTGTTGGACTTCTGTGCTCGTCATGGATTGTCAATAACGAACACCTTGTTCAGGCATAAGGGTGTCCATATGTACTCTTGGCACCAGGACACCCTAGGCCGCAGTTTGATGATCGACTTTGTCATCGTCTCATCTGATCTGCGGCCGCATGTCTTGGACACTCGGGTGAAGAGAGGGGCGGAGCTGTCCACTGATCACTACCTGGTGGTGAGTTGGCTCCGATGGTGGGGGAGGATGCCAGTCAGACCTGGCAGACCCAAACGTATTGTGAGGGTTTGCTGAGAACATCTGGCAGAGTCTTCTGTGAGACGGAGTTTTAACTCCCACCTCCGGGAGAACTTCGAACATGTTCCGAGGGAGGTGGGGGACATTGAGTCCGAGTGGACCATGTTTCGTGCCTCTACTGTCGAGGCGGCTTACCGGAACCGCAGACGCAAGGTTGTCGGTGCCTGTCGCGGTGGCAACCCTCGAACCCGATGGTGGACACCGTCGGTGAGGGATGCTGTCAGGCTGAAGAAGGAGTCCTATCGGGCCTTTTTTGGCCTGTGGGACCCCGGAAGCAGCTGATGGGTACCGGCAGTCCAAGCGACATGTGGCTCGGGTGGTCACTGAGGCAAAAACTCGGGCATGGGAGGAGTTCGGAGAGGCCATGGAGAATGACTTCCGCATGGCTTCGAGGCGATTCTGGTCCACCATCCGGCGTCTCAGGGGAGGAAAACGGTACGCCACAAACACTGTTTATAGTGGGAATGGTGTGCTGCTGACCTCAACTCGGGATGTTGTGAGTCGGTGGGCGGAATACTTTGAAGACCTCCTCAATCCCACCGGCACGTCTTCCACTGAGGAAGCAGAGCCTGGGGACTCTGGGTCGGGCCCTCCAATCTCTGGTGCTGAGGTCACCGAGGTGGTTAAAAAGCTCCTCGGTGGCAGGGCCCTAAGGGTGGATGAAATTCGCCCGGAGTTCCTTAAGGCTCTGGATGTTGTAGGGTTGTGTTGGCTTATGCGACTCTGCAATATTGTGTGGACATCAGGGGGAAGTTCCCCTGGATTGGCAGACCGAGGTGGTGGTCCCCCTATTCAAAAAGGGGGACCGTAGAGTGTGTTCCAACTACAGGGGAATCACGCTCTTAAGCCTCCCTGGTAAGGTCTACTCGGGGGTTCTGGAGAGGAGGGTCCGTCGGATAGTCAAACCTCGGATTCAGGAGGAGCAGTGTGGTTTTCGTCCTTGCCGTGGAACACTGGACCAGCTCTACACTCTCAGCAGGGTCCTGGAGGGTGTGTGGGAGTTTGCCCAACCAGTCTACATGTGCTTTGTGGACTTGGAGAAGGCATTTGACCGCATCCCTTGGGGAACCCTGTGGGGGGTACTCTGGGAGTATGGGGTACCGGGCCCTTTGATACGGGCTGTTAGGTCCCTGTATGACCAGTGTCAGAGCCTGGGGAGTGGTGGCGCAGAGGTTAGAGAGGTGGGCTTGTGATCCGAAGATCGCCGGTTCACGCCCCGGCCCCGACAACATCAAAAAAATTGTGGGTGGGGTAGGTGAAACACCCACACTTGCCCCCACCCTCATTCGCCCCACTCTGGGCCCATGAGCAAGGCCCTTAACCCCACCATGTGCTCCCTAAAACAGGTCTCTCTTGAAAATGAGTTCTCGTGGCTCAATGAGACTAACCTGGATAAATAAAGGCTAAATGAAAAAAAAAAAAAAAAAAAAAGTAAGTCGGGCTTGTTCCTGGGGAGAATTGGACTCCGCCAAAGATGCCCTTTGTCACCAATTCTGTTCGTAACTTTTATGGACAGAATTTCTAGGCACAGCCAAGGTGCTGAGGGGATCTGTTTTGGTGGCCTTAGGATTGCGTCTCTGCTTTTTGCAGATGATGTGGTCTTATTGGCTTCATCAGATCATGATCTACAGCTTTCGCTGGAGCGGTTCGCAGCCGAGTGCGACGCGGCCGGGATGAGGATCAGTTCCTCCAAATCCGAGGCCATGGTCTTGAGCCAGAAAAGGGTAAAGTGCCCTCTCCGGGTCAGGGAGGAGGTCCTGGCCCAAGTGGAGGAGTTTAAGTATCTTGGGGTCTTGTTCACGAATGAGGGAAAAATGGAGCGTGAGATCGATAGGCGGATAGGTGCAGCGTCAGCAGTGAAGCGGGCGCTGTACAGGTCTGTCGTGGTGAAGAGAGAGCTGAGTCAAAAGGCGAAGCTCTCAATTTACCGTTCGATCTACGTTCCTACCCTCATCTATGGTCACGAGCTTTGGGTTGTGACCGAAAGAATGAGATCTCAGATACAAGCGGCCGAAATGAGTTTTCTCCGCAGGGTGTCTGGGCTCGCCCTTAGAGATAGGGTGAGACGCTCGATCATCCAGGAGAGACTCAGAGTAGAGCCGCTGCTTCTCCATGTCGAGAGGAGCCAGTTGAGGTGGCTTGGGCATCTGTTTAGGATACCTTCTGGACGCCTCCCTGGTGAGGTGTTCCGGACACGTCCCACCGGAAGGAGGCCCAGA